CAAGCTGAAATGTCGTCAGCTGCAGTGGAAGCAGCCCTTGTTGAGCCGATCGCGGCTGTAAAAATCTCAGAACGTGGGTCCAAATCCGATAAAGCGGATTCATCTGCGGCCCTCGCTGAACCGATGCAAACCGAGTCCGAATCCATAGCAACGGATTCATCTGCGGCTCCGGTTCTTGATTCACCCCCCAAAAATGATACATTACAAACCGAGTCCGCATCTTCGGGTCCATCTGCGGCTCCGGTTGCCGAAACCCATAAGGTTTCATCTGCGGCCTCACATAAATGTCGACTTTGTGATCGCATGCACCCGCTGGATAGATGTAGTGACTTCCGGGTTATGAATGTTGACATGCGACGTCGCATTGTCCTAAAATACAATGACTGCATACGGTGTTTATCTAAATCCCACCAAGCTAGGGACTGCCGAAGCAAAAGAAAATGTGCCGTATGCAATGAAGAACACCACACCCTCCTTCATGAAGATTCGAAGACCGTGGTTAAACCCACCAATAATCGTCAGCGTCGTCCGCGGACCGAGAATAGGTATCGGTCACGTAACAGCCCGTATAGTCGTCCGTCTGATAACGCTCCCCCCTCGCTGATAGGATTGGTCGGCTTGTTGTCCCTCCAAACAGGTATCTGCCTATCCCCGACTTTGATAGTCAAAATTATTATGTCCGATCGACCCACTATTGTGATGGCGGTTTTGGACCCGTGTAGTAGGCAGAGTCAAATATGTTCCTCGTTGGTGCATAATCTTCGACTCCCTACTTCTAGAATCGAAGGTAGCCAAATATGTCGGCTGACCGTTAGTTCGATCTATGACCGGAGTCAGTCCATTTCAATTGTGGCTGTGGTAACCAATTTGGACCATGCGCTTACGCCTACAGCGGTAATCCCCGAGCGCATTCGTGACCCATTTTTAGGTCTTGCTTTAGCAGATCCCGATTTTAATAGGCCTGGTCGGGTGGCCTTGGTACTCGGGCCGGAAGTTTATGCCAGGGTCGTAACTCATCGGGTGCAAGCGACGCCAGGGTTGCGGATAGCCCACTACACAATATTTGGGTGGGTATTGTCGGGCATATGTAACATATAGTGTTACACAATGTCTTTTGAAAAAAATTAAATGAATTGAAATTAAATTGAAATTGGATTGAAAAAAAAAAGTTGGAAAAGAATGTATTTATTATTGTATTTTAGTTACAACATCTCAATATGTTGCAAGGTGGGCGGCATGTTTAATTTAGATTGGTAATTATTGTTGAACTTCAAAGAAATGTTAAAGATTTCCTCCAAAAAAGCGCTAACTCCGCCTCCTCGTCTTTATCAGACCAGGGACAAACATGGCATTTTATACCTGCTGGTGCCCCTCACATGGGAGGGTTATGGGAAGCTGGAGTCAAGAGCTTCAAGTTACAGTTTCGGAAACAATCTCGAAATTTAAAATTCACGTTTGAAGAATTAGCAACGGCATTGGCTAGGATCGAAGCTTGTCTTAATTCCCAGCCGTTGTGTCCAATGTCGGATAATCCAGGAGAAATCGTTGCATTGACGCCAGGTCACTTCTTGATTGGTGCCCCTTTGTTAGCCCCGCCTGAACCTCTCTTCACAGAGCAACCATTAAGTCTAATTAATCGGTTTAGGAAAGTTCAGGCCCTTGCCCACCAGTTTAGTTTAAGGTGGAAAGATGAATATCTCAAGCAGTTGCATATGAGATATAAGTGGAAATTTCCCCAAAGAGAAATGGCGATTGACGATCTAGTCGTTGTTCGTCATGATCAGCTTCCTCCAACGTCGTGGAAATTAGGGCGTATAGAAAATGTTTTTCCGGGCACCGACGGTCATGTTAGAGTCGCGGACGTTCGAACGGAAAACGGCGTTGTAAGACGGCCCATTACAAAGTTGGTCGTTTTGACCGACCACACTCCCGCAAACGAATAATATTGTTCTCTTCTCATTATATAGTATGTCGGTGAAAATCTATTCGGAAGAAGAACTTTTGAATGTTGATGACGGTATTGACTACAATGAACCTCGTCCCACCGATCCCCAAGCTGAAATGTCGTCAGCTGCAGTGGAAGCAGCCCTTGTTGAGCCGATCGCGGCTGTAAAAATCTCAGAACGTGGGTCCAAATCCGATAAAGCGGATTCATCTGCGGCCCTCGCTGAACCGATGCAAACCGAGTCCGAATCCATAGCAACGGATTCATCTGCGGCTCCGGTTCTTGATTCACCCCCCAAAAATGATACATTACAAACCGAGTCCGGATCTTCGGGTCCATCTGCGGCTCCGGTTGCCGAAACCCATAAGGTTTCATCTGCGGCCTCACATAAATGTCGACTTTGTGATCGCATGCACCCGCTGGATAGATGTAGTGACTTCCGGGTTATGAATGTTGACATGCGACGTCGCATTGTCCTAAAATACAATGACTGCATACGGTGTTTATCTAAATCCCACCAAGCTAGGGACTGCCGAAGCAAAAGAAAATGTGCCGTATGCAATGAAGAACACCACACCCTCCTTCATGAAGATTCGAAGACCGTGGTTAAACCCACCAATAATCGTCAGCGTCGTCCGCGGACCGAGAATAGGTATCGGTCACGTAACAGCCCGTATAGTCGTCCGTCTGATAACGCTCCCCCCTCGCTGATAGGATTGGTCGGCTTGTTGTCCCTCCAAACAGGTATCTGCCTATCCCCGACTTTGATAGTCAAAATTATTATGTCCGATCGACCCACTATTGTGATGGCGGTTTTGGACCCGTGTAGTAGGCAGAGTCAAATATGTTCCTCGTTGGTGCATAATCTTCGACTCCCTACTTCTAGAATCGAAGGTAGCCAAATATGTCGGCTGACCGTTAGTTCGATCTATGACCGGAGTCAGTCCATTTCAATTGTGGCTGTGGTAACCTATTTGGACCATGCGCTTACGCCTACAGCGGTAATCCCCGAGCGCATTCGTGACTCATTTTTAGGTCTTGCTTTAGCAGATCCCGATTTTAATAGGCCTGGTCGGGTGGCCTTGGTACTCGGGCCGGAAGTTTATGCCAGGGTCGTAACTCATCGGGTGCAAGCGACGCCAGGGTTGCGGATAGCCCACTACACAATATTTGGGTGGGTATTGTCGGGCATATGTAACATATAGTGTTACACAATGTCTTTTGAAAAAAATTAAATGAATTGAAATTAAATTGAAATTGGATTGAAAAAAAAAGTTGGAAAAGAATGTATTTATTATTGTATTTTAGTTACAACATCTCAATATGTTGCCAGGTGGGCGGCATGTTTAATTTAGATTGGTAATTATTGTTTTGTAACGTTAACAATGGGTTAACGCACAATTAATTTGTAAATGATTAACCTCGTTTAGATCTGTCAACGTAAATGTAAACAGATTTCAACGAGAGGCGAATGGCGCCAAAGCCTCCACCTTCCTTCATGTTTTGATCATTGTTTTTGATACTCGTCTCTTCTATCGCTCGATACGAAGTCGTGCTTCCCCGCTATTGTGCAAATCAGGTAATCCGTCTGTCCATTATTATTTATTATTATTATTAATAAATACGGCATTTGCCATTATTCTTAAAACTAAAACCCCCCCATTGTGTTTTTATTTATTTATTGGTTTGAGCTTTGCATATTTCCCCGCATTGGTGCAGACAGAGAAGTTCAAATAGATTTGCGCAGATAAAAATGTCAAAATATTATCATTTTCTATCAAGCAACAAATGTGTGTAGCCGACGAAAGCCGATTAGACTCACATGGACACACACATATAAGCTGCTTGACGAAAAATTTTAACGTCTCCAGGGCACTTCACGACAGTTACCGTATATCGTAAATATTATGGGTGTAACATTCTTGAAGAGAATATTACACACAATGAGAAACCAGCACTGTTGGAAGTTATGAAAAAAAACGAATTACCGACGGACGGACACTTGCAAAAAAGACCGTAGTTAAACACTTCGTTCGTTGATTTTGTAACGTTATTTTTATTTCAAAACAAAACACTAGCGGCTTATGCTCACTAAATGGACGGTACGTACCTTTTTAGTAATGTAGTGATTTTTACAATAAAAATAGATGAAGAGATGGATGATTAGGCTGTGAGCGAATATTGGTAGGCGCTGGTAGCTGTTGGTTTGCAAAAACAAAAAAGACACATGTTAGTTTTTTTGTTGCTGTAAGAACGTATCTCGGCTCGAAGAGACCAAAAATGTTGCGGAGCAGCGAAAACAAATAAAACAACAGATATTAGATTTTTTATATAATAAAATTTGGCGGTTTCATTGAATATTACATTAGTCGAAAAACTAATATAACTTTACCTTTTGAACAATGGGCGTTGTTAAGATGTTGTTGGACGAAAATCCGAATAACAAGTAAAGAATAAAAGTTGCGAGCAAGCCTAGATATCACGAGAGAGGCGCGAGTTGATCATCTTTGCTCATTACAATTTGTCATCACTAACTTTAAACGGAAGTTCAAAGTTAAATAAAAGGTATTTGAAAAATTGAAGAAAAAGAGCCAAGGGTTGTATTTTTAGAGAAATTAAATAAAATTGAAGTTAAACAGTAGGTCATATGTTAAGTTTATTATTAAATAAACTCTCGCTTTTCAATGAAAATATAATATACTAAAATGGTATATTTATACTATCTCAATTAATTAATTTTAATTCAGCAGTTGAAAACACACAAGAATTTCAATAATTTAGAAATTCTGTATAATTTCGCAGTGTATGGCACCCTTAAGTATTTTGTGCATATCAATAACCGATAACACAATTAATCAAATTGAATAATCGGAGATAGGTACTCATTTACTAACAAAGTATGTGACCCTAATGAAGTTAAAATCAAAAGAAGAAATAATGTGAATTTAATGGAAAATTGCAACAAATTAAAAGTGTAAATTAAATAATTTGTGAACACGCAAAATAACCCAAAACAAAAAAATTAAATGTATATATTTTGTTACTTTAACTTCTCTCTCGTAATAGGAATTTAAACGCGGAATGGTGTGCAATAAAGAAAACAAAAACAATTGGAATGGTTGACAAGCAAACTGCAAAGCGGAATGAGAGAAGAAAAATTAAACTTAATTTGAAGGTAATAATTAAGTTTGTGTTATTTAGCCGCGAATGTTTATAACCAAATCGATTTACAAAATGTATTTTATTTGAAATAGTGAAACATAGAAAAATAATTCGTGTGAATTATGGAAAAATCTCATCGAAATTTGAATAAATTCCAAATTCTCTAACACTGAGTATCTTGAAGGTTAGGATTCACACAAATTATGCTCAATGCTGTTACCTGGAAATCAGAATCACTCTCCTACATAGACGGCAGTGACAGAAACGGGACATCTTAAGGTATGGCACGAAAGCGGCAACAGAACAGATCACCACAGGTATATTATTAAAGTTTTTTAAAAGATATTTTACTTCTCTTATTTTTATTTGCAGCTATTTTTACTTGCAGCTATTTAGCAAATTAGTTTTGAAGCAATTAACAAAACAACCGACACTTTATATCCCGGGTTTCGGCACCAAAATGTTCCACTTTAACTTAAAGGAGGTATAAAAATAAACGTTATTCATTTCTGTTTTTATTTTTATTTAATTTTAGGAATTTTTTTCGCTAAGAAGTCGAAGATCACGCTCTTTAATGGCGCCAAGTGTAACAATGGAATTAAATTTTATTTTCTTTTATCCTAATTCCATTCACTTTCTTTACAGCTAACTTCATTTCATGGTATATACTATTTACATACTACAATCTGAAACTATGGGAAATCATTGAAATTAATTGATTACATTTTTAAAAAAATTAAATAAAAGTAAAAATAAAAAACCAATAAATATAAAAGTAAAACGTAAATTCAAAAATAAAAGAAAAACAAAGATTTATTACGTTCCAACACCCATATATTCGGTATTTTGATGATTTTAGCCACATATTTCAATGGAATTGAAAAAGATTATACACAAATTCGTGACTGCTTTACCTCCTGAAAAAAATTGTCTATATAGGTCTACGATATCGTATAGCCCCCATACAAAGGTACCCCCTGACATTCGGTATTTTGACGATTTTAGCTACATTTTTCAATTAAATTGCCTAAATATCCATATTAGTAGTTCTTTCCAAGCGCTTTATTCCCTGGAAGAGAAATGTCCATAGGTTATCGTATAAGCCACATACAACTCTACCCCTTGATAAATGTACGTTTGCATTGAACATATGCTTATTGACTGAAAAACTTACACATTATTTTTTTCGTTTTGTAAGTGTTGAGAGCAAGCAAGCATTCTTACAACTGCACCACAGTGTCACACAATCCTCAGATAAAATAATAATCTTATTTTTCTTCAATTCGTAAATAATTGTAATCTATCGCTGTTTTATTCGATGGAAGTCAGTATGAGGTCAGGTGTCTGCATACGTATTAACTCTTTGACGATAGAAAGTAGACGACAGTAGTTTTGTCATTGCAATGTACAAACGATCACACATCTACCAGACAAGAAACGTTAAGAACTGGCGTTTAGAAAAGTGAGTGAGAAACTTACTTCCAAATGCTCGTCTAATTAGATAAAATAATATTATTTGGATTAAAAAATCCGATGGTCACTAAGCCGTAAGAACCTCTTGAATCAAATTTGTCTTTTCATTACTCTTAACATTTCACCAAACCCAAAATATTTAAGTGCCAAACGCGTGCCTTGAACAAAATGTGTGTGTCTCATCATACCTTCAATATAGAGTTATAGAGATATAAACTTCAAATGTACTTGCACATTAAAAAAAACAAAAAGGTTAGAAATTGTTAATAGGTGCATACCTTATATTCAAACAGGCAATTTTTTTAGTTTTGGAGAAAAATAGACTTATATTTTCCTCGCGTATAGCGGATGGCTTCTGATTTCTACGTTTGTAAAATTCGTGCTCATCGACGGCCAAAACAGCACCCTTCAAATTTTATATTCTTTTAAAGCGTTAATGGAGTGACAGGTTGTGTCTCACGGCATTCTGGAAAATAATGTTAAAATAAATATATTTCATCTGTCATAAGCTTAATGTAACTGTAGTCACGAAAAATGCTAAGCTATAACATATATACCGAACATTCCAGATCCGCGTTGTTGACTCGTAGTTTTAGTGCTTGATGTATATTATTATAAACGTTAGGGGTAGGGTTTTCTTCTAGTTATTGTTTTATTGTAGAACAAAAATTTGTGATAGTAGATGAAATTTTGCAATAAAGATTTTCTAGACCAAATTAAACAATCATATAGTAGTCTATTTTATAAATTTTCAGGTTTCTGATCATACTTTGGCTGCATGACTTTAATTGAAACCTTTTAGTCTTAGAAAGAGCTTGGCGATGTTTTTTAATCAAATGGGATTGGATTTTAAATTCGTTACGTTACATAAAGATTTCGATGCATGCAAACTGACCATATGAAATTAGTAGCTCCATGTTTCGGTATAATTAAATTGAAAGAAGTATTTAAATTTTTTCAATATTCAGTTTGAATATCCCAGACAAAAAACAAGGGAACTGCCTTATCCCCTGATAAACATTACCATCGTTCTCCACTAATAAACAAACGTTGTTTTTACATAAACAACAATACAGGGATTAAGCCTGACCATTTTACAAAAACACAATATATAATGGTATCCCGAACAAACAAAGCCAACACTGTTCCAAAGTTTTAAACTATTAAAGTGCGGCTGCAATGGTGAAAATATCGACTATCGAGAAGTACATTTATATGGGGGTTATGCGAAAAAGTTGACCTTTATGAACAATATTATGCCAGATCGCAATACAACCTCTAAGTACCGAAGTTCAAAAAAAAAAAAAAACCTTTAAAACTCCGAATAATAGGTGGCATAATATTATAACTATTGAGCTAGAAAGTGTGGGGAGGTACATTATATGGGGACTATAAGAAAAAGTGGATATATAACGATTAATTTCTGCCATAGGCGGTATATATAAAATCCAAATACCGAATTTTAAACTATTCCGTTGGAATGTGAGGCCAAAATTTTAAAAATACTGAATATGGGGAGGTACGATTTTATGGGGGCTATACGAAAACGTGACTTCGTAGACCTGACTGCAAAAAAGACAACTCTATGCTAAACGTTAATATTTAATTTAATAATATAATTTAATTAATTAATGTGTTAATTAATTAACAATAGGACCATATCGACGTTATCCATTTAGTAATGCTGTGGATAGCTGGAGATCTTTGGATCTTTCATCGTCTGTGTTAAAGCTGGTTCGATCTTGAATTAATGCAATTACATGATAACCGATATTATAAAGTGATTTTTATGAATACACTGTAATTTACAATTCTTAAGGCCCCTAAACTGGTAAAATTAGTCTTGATGGTTTGGTTTTCTACAAAGATGTAGAAAACCTTTATAGAACAAAGGGGATGATGAATAGTGTGTTGGCGCAGACAGAGAAGTTCAAATAGATTTGCGCAAATAAAAATGTCAAAATATTATCATTTTCTATCAAGCAACAAATGTGTGTAGCCGACGAAAGCCGATTAGACTCACATGGACACACACATATAAGCTGCTTGACGAAAAATTTTAACGTCTCCAGGGCACTTCACGACAGTTACCGTATATCGTAAATATTATGGGTGTAACATTCTTGAAGAGAATATTACACACAATGAGAAACCAGCACTGTTGGAAGTTATGAACAAAACGAATTAACGACGGACGGACACTTGCAAAAAAGACCGTAGTTAAACACTTCGTTCGTTGTTTTTGTAACGTTATTTTTATTTCAAAACAAAACACTAGCGGCTTATGCTCACTAAATGGACGGTACGTACCTTTTTAGTAATGTAGTGATTTTTACAATAAAAATAGATGAAGAGATGGTGATTAGGCTGTGAGCGAATATTGGTAGACGCTGGTAGCTGTTGGTTTTTGACGAAGTCAAACCTTTGCAAAAACAAAAAAGACACATGTTAGTTTTTTTGTTGCTGTAAGAACGTATCTCGGCTCGAAGAGACCAAAAATGTTGCGGAGCAGCGAAAACAAATAAAACAACAGATATTAGATTTTTTATATAATAAAATTTGGCGGTTTCATTGAATATTACATTAGTCGAAAAACTAATATAACTTTACCTTTTGAACAATGGGCGTTGTTAAGATGTTGTTGGACGAAAATCCGATTAACAAGTAAAGAATAAAAGTTGCGAGCAAGCCTAGATATCACAAGAGAGGCGCGAGTTGATCATCTTTGCTCATTACAATTTGTCATCACTAACTTTAAACGAAAGTTCAAAGTTAAATAAAAGGTATTTGAAAAATTGAAGAAAAAGAGCCAAGGGTTGTATTTTTAGAGAAATTAAATAAAATTGAAGTTAAACAGTAGGTCATATGTTAAGTTTATTATCAAATGAACTCTCGCTTTTCAATGAAAATATAATATACTAAAATGGTATATTTATACTATCTCAATTAATTAATTTTAATTCCGCAGTTGAACACACACAAGAATTTCAATAATTTAGAAATTCTGTAAAATTTCGCAGTGTAAGGCACCCTTAAGTATTTTGTGACCCTAATGAAGTTAAAATCAAAAGAAGAAATAATGTGAATTTAATGGAAAATTGCAACAAATTAAAAGTGTAAATTAAATAATTTGTGAACACGCAAAATAACCTAAAACAAAAAAATTAAATGTATATATTTTGTTACTTTAACTTCTCTCTCGTAATAGGAATTTAAACGCGGAATGGTGTGCAATAAAGACAACAAAAACAATTGGAATGGTTGACAAGCAAACTGCAAAGCGGAATGAGAGAAGAAAAATTAAACTTAATTTGAAGGTAATAATTAAGTTTGTGTTATTTAGCCGCGAATGTTTATAACCAAATCGATTTACAAAATGTATTTTATTTGAAATAGTGAAACATAGAAAAATAATTCGAGTAGGGTATTTACGATGACACAGAGTCCATAAAATTAATTACCTTTGCCACCTTTCTGACCTTTTAGAGGTTTGTCCTTGATAAAGCCTGGGTTGTCCCAGTTTATTGACCCGCTTCTGTATGTCTAAGCATATGTTTGTGTGTCCATCTAGATTTTATTGGCTTCACGTGTCGGCAATTGTTGGAGAATGTAAGGGTTGGCCTTGTTAGAGTTGAGATTAGGCTAGTTTTTAGTCGAGATTGGCCTATTTTTTAAGCCGAGTTGGTCCAGTTTATTGACCCGCTTCTGTATGTCTAGGCATATGTTTGTGTGTCCATCCAGACTTTATTGCTTACACGCGCCTTCATTTGTTGGTAAGTGTGAAGAAAAAAACTTTTTCGTTTTGGTCTGTAATGGTCTCCCTCTCTCTCTTGCCCCCCACCCCTTCTCCCTATTCAGCACCGTCTTCCACTAACCCCTTCTTTCTAATCAGTGCCGCATCCCACTGCCCGCCTTCTCCCCCCCCCCTCTTTGCACCGTCCTCCAACTCCCTATTCAGAATCGTTCTCCTCTATCCCCCCCTCTTTCACATACTTTTCTATCTTCCCATTGCTCTATACCGTCCCCTCTTCCGTAGCATTGAAACAATCTCCCTGTCCCACAGACCACTCTTCTTCATTAGACAATTATGCTCTTATCAGTACAAATTATATTAGAATTGTGTGTCGATCTGTCCAGATGTAAGTCCGACAACATACATGCTTGTGACGAAAGTAAATTGTAACAGAAACATTGTTTATATTTTGTTTTTCGTCTTGG